GTTTCATGCATCCAACAACCTCATTGAAAGATTATTTTTTATTTAATTTTTTCAGCATTTGTCATCGATTGTGCTATGAATAAACACTCATTTCCTGGCATACTAATATCACCATGAGATAAATGTTGGCTAATGGAGTTCCTAAATCATTGTCAAACAATTTGCTAATGGAATTGATTCATAGTGAATCGACCTTGTTGTGGCTACGCCTAGGGATAACCTGAATGTGCGTAGTGTTTATGATTACAATATAGTCAATATAGACAATAGTCTTTATGTTGTTTTTATATTTATTGAATTGAATTGTAATTTATAGTCATAATGCACAGGTTTTTCAGTAATGCAAAGAACAGATAAACACAAAATTCTAGTCGAGAGTAATCTATGGCTATTATCACCTATTTATGTGCCACATTAGTACCATTAGGTGCCTTATTAATACCTTTTTATGAAAACACTAAATTTAGTTTATTGTGTCTATTTGATTTATTGAGGGTAGATGTAAATAATTAATGAATAAACTATCGCACTCTTCCTGAAAGCAAATATATCTAGAATATTATATTTGGAATCTATAAATATGCTCATTGTACTACTGTATTGTATTTTTATAATTATTGGATATTTTTAGCAAACTATAACTGAAAAAAATATTTATTTTAAAATATTAAGCTGTTGCATGGCACAGGCATCGGTAAAAATTCCATTAACAGATATGGACTAGAGCAAAGAACATTTCCTAACTATATCGATATAATTTACAACTGGTAGTCACACACGTTTATTAAAACAATTATTTTTAAAAGTCATTACCTATATTATTATTCCATGGAATTGCAAAATAAGATGCCACATAAACTAACCGTGTTGAGTGTTGGCGATGAAGGAATTACGCCGTCATCTCTCAGCTTGAAACATTTCGACGTCGGATACTTTGTGGGGTCCTTTATAAAGCGCTTTAAGGACTTTTAATAAACCTATTCATCATCTCTCTCCAGCCTAAGGGAGGCTCATGTTTGCTGAGCGTCTCGTCATCTACCGTAACATTATATGTAGGTTCTACTGCATTGGGAACAATTGTTTGAATCGCTGTGTGTGTTAATTGATATGATAAACACGTACAAAACCAACTATCGAGTAAATTATTAAATACCAACATTCTGTTACAAATGGTCAAACATGTTTACCAACACCTGTTGTTTTTTCGATCATTAAATGTCCAGTTGTGCTCATTTCCCTGTAGGCTGGAATACTATCTATACCAGTATAATAACCAGGCAGATTACTTGATAATGTTTTAGAAAAAGACTAAAATACTGTATGCTAGAATGGAGGAAACACTAATAGTACTAAACAAAACCAAAATACATGTGCTTAAAAAGGACATTTTATTATTGTTTTGACATAGTGATGGTAATGTTACGACATCATGCCATAATGTACGAAGAAGATACATTTTTTTTATGAATCCAAATCAGGATAGTGACGGTTTTATTTTGTATTTTTTCATCTTGGTACAACGAATAGGTCATTAGTATATCTTCTAAATTTAAATGTCTTAAAAGTGTATTATAATCGATTGAATATAAAGTCGTGACGTATTGCTCGGTCCACATTCCCTCAGTGGTTCAGCCCTCACGAAGGAACAGGATATATTAATAGAGTCAACAAGGTGTGAGCCCCCTCGGCCCTCCCACTTCTCTTACAACAACACACTACCCTACTGCAAATCTGTGCAACTGCAAGTCACTGTAACACGCCTGTTACACAATGTTATCTTTTGAAACGAGCAAACAATAATCAAATAATCAAACAAATTGATATTTAGACCTTTGTTTTGAATGTTTTCATTAATGCAAATATAAAATCCTTTATCCTTAAAAACTATCAATGATAATAATTCTAAATTTATTAGTTACAATCCAATGGTATTAGGTCATTCCCTTATATGATTTATTAGCTAAGAGAGCAATTTACTTCCTCTAATTTCAAATGTTTAATTTTTTTTATCAATTTTTAAAGTTATAGATTTCCACGATGCGAAAATATTTCGTTGTTTCGATACTTAGTGTAATTCCTTAGTTATCTATAACAATGATTACTCGGTTAATCAAGATGACTGTAAACCCCATTTTAGTTTTTAAACTTTTCCATTTTGTAAGTAAATTATTATTTGTGAGTATTGTTAGTTGTTATTGTTATTAATTGTTTCTGTAGAAGTTCTCAACAAGAGATACTCGTGCAGTTCTTAAGTTTCTTAGATAAAAGAGCACTTTTAATGTTTTTTATACCATCCGCCTTTTACAATTTAAAAGCTGCTGGGTGCTTAAAGGGAATTTATATTGGAGGTCTAGACAGAGAAGTATATTTATGTAACCACCACCACCCCCAATAGTTACCCCATCCCGCCTATCCGCGAATCTTTGTTCGCAACTGTTTGTCGATGGATTGTAAGGAGAGGAAACTGTTTCCGCATTTTAATCAGAATCTTCCCTTCTCTGCTGTCAATACTATATCTAAATGTTCACCAGAAATGTTTTTCTATAGCAAAAGGCGTTTTATGATAAAAACGGGTCATTAGGCCTACTTGGAATACAGTGTCAAACGATTGTTGAGGGCATAGTAAAGTTCTGTCGATGGCCACAAATTTGACTGAATTATTTTAATAATATGGATAGTTTACATCCTTTTCAGTTTTAGGCATTGAGTTTTAATAATAACAACAATATGTAACATTGTTAGACGGGCACGGGTTGACCTAATGCGGTATATTTATACTCATCATGTTATGTAGAGCAAGTTTGACGCACGAGATCGCTATTTCGACAATGTTGATGAGAGCTGCTCTATTTATACTGGGGACCTCACTGGCCAAACATAAGTCTCTGCTTATAGCACTTGCATCATTGTAGCTTACACATTTGCTACAACAATAACACATTCCCCATCAGTCTAAAGACTAAGTGTACTAGGCAACTAACGTATTAGGCACGATCGCTGTCAAAAAGTGAATGTTCCAGCCCGCGAATGTCGATCCATCAAAACGTTCAATCACTACCGCTCTATAGGGTATCGATTCAGTGTTCCGTACACCAATATCTGTTTATAAAGCTGGAGGATTTGATCAATATCATAGACAAAGGTTATTACTGTGCTATTGTAACTAATATTACCATCTTGCACACGTATTTATCTTCAAGTCGTCATTGATTTTATCCTAAATCTTCAAAATATCTTATAGACCTTCTGAACCGGTGTAACGGCCATCTACTGAGAGTCCTTCTATAGTAATAGTTAGGTCTCTATTTTGTATACCTAATATTGCCATTTACAATAAGTACATGGAGTGTGTGTTGTCCTTATATTATTGTTGTATTTATATATTTTTTTAATAATTATGGCTGTAATAACGACGGTAAAGACGTGGAATGGGTTTAAAGCTGCGGGTTCAGTGGCTGAGGAAATAAAGGCACATTAATAACGTGAAACCAGACACGTAATTGCCAATAGCTGTCACTTGGTGTCAATCGTTGTACACTGACCTAGTGTCCCTACACTCCTACACAGACACACAGTGTATATATAGCACATTAGCTGTGTGTATATCCAAAAACTAGCCTACTGCAACGACACCTCTGTTATGTCTAGACCATGTGGCTATGGCAGATCAATAAAAAATAGTCAAGATCTAATTCAATTACTAAAATAAAAAAAATAAAAAATAAGGATCATAATAAGGACATCAGGAATAAGGACATCTTAATAAAATGTAACAACGATATTTTACTAGAATATTTACTACGAATATCCAAAAGATGTTGGTTTTGAGAGGACCGTCGGGGTAAGTTAGTCAAGGGTGAAGAAACGATAAATACTAGCAGTATTACAGGATTTCTAAATATCACAAATTTACCATGTACACCAAAAGGTAACTAATATAATTTCACTCAGCCCACATATCTAAAACAGCCTAAACACTCTAATCCAAAAATCTGTATTGCATGTTAAGTTTAACAAACTGTTTTAAACAATTTTATGTGTAGAAATAGCTGCATTTTATAATCTACACGGCTATTGGGTCTTATTATTGACTAGAGGTTTAGATAATACAAGGCCCATCAATATTTTGTAAAATAACACAATATTAGGTCTTCTTTTTAACAGAATGGATATAAAAAGTAACAATATCGTTTTATAGTTCTAAAATGCACATGTTAGAGTAAACATGAGCTCAGAGAATTGCCACTGAGGTAAAAGTCCTGTTCAACAGTTGGTGGTGGAAGTGCTCCGGAACTTTGTCTATTATTCATGTATTCCTGATGTTGCATTCATCGCAATGTGTCTTGCAACAGTTTTGTCTCAAGAAGATTTATTTTGCACTTTGATGTTTTGTTGACTCATTTTTTATTGCTGTAAACTGAGTTTACGTAACATTTAAACCCCTTTAAGAATAGATTTATGCTACGTAAACAACAATTAAGGAATAAATACTTAACAACTTGATAATAAATCTCATACATATTTAATAAGCTACGTGGAAAGTTTATTCCCGATAAAGCCTTTTTTGTTTTACGACTCAACCCCACACATTATACATTAACATAACTATCTGGGTGTGCAGATTTGGTCTAGGTGGTTCTTTCAATAAAACTGACAAAACAAAAAGTGCGAAATTCGTTTAATGGTGCCAAAAATAGCCGAGCAGAATCAGGCTATGCAAGGTTTTTTTTTAAAAAGATTGTAAAATATATTTTCAATTACCCTCGCTTTTCAATGTGTTTTGATTAGCAAAGATAATATATAGATCTTTGAGGAATCGGTTTTCATTTTCCTATATAAAGCCCAGATTATATGTTCACAATAAGCATGGTTATACCAAATTGTTTTACACTATAATTGTGTATGTTGTCAAGGTTAAATGTTTGTTTATCAACTGTACTGAAACATTTTTGAACTTTTTAATTTATTTAAATCTAAAGCAATATTTATGTGTGTTCCAGCTCACAATGCGGGTATATCTCCATCATCCACTCAGGAGTCGAACAGCAAACAGCCTGTTAGCGAGGATGGGACGCGTCCGGTGCAGGAGGAACGCAGCATCACAGAGGAGCCGGAGAGTAACGACACTTCGTACGGCGTGGAGGCGACAGCCGTGCGAACACTGGCGGCGACCACCGGGACAGTAGCAATCCTGGGCACCACAGCCAAGACGGGCGACAAGAAGGGTGACGAGGAGGATGACGGCAGATCCGCCAACTCGGCGACTCCAGCAGTCGTGGAGACGATCCCGGAGGAGCAAGAGGAAGTTACGGTGAACGTAGAAAAGGCCGTGGTTCACGAGGAAGAGAAGATAGAGGAATCAAAGAAAGAAGAAAATGTAGTGGAAACACAGACAAATAGCGTAGAAAAAAGTAAAGAAGACTCGAGTTTAAAATCTGAAAGCAGGCCGAATAGTAAGCTCGTGGAGGATAATAGAGAAACAGTTGAAGCAGACGAGAAAGAAGACAGAGGAATACCACCCGTGGCTTCTATTGAAACTAAAGAACATATGCCTTCAAACACACCACCCTCAGAGACCAATAAATCTCCTGTTTCTGACTCAACTAATAGCGAAAGAGTTTCACCCATTGCCAAACTACCAGGTGCTGTTAATGAGGAAACGACCTCAAAAAAAGACGTAGATAACTCTCTAGAACCGTTGGAAAACGAATCTGTCAAGGACAAAGAAGAAGATGTATCAAAATCGATATCTAGCGAGCGATTAAAAACTAATAGTATATCTAATACAACGTTATCGTCAGATTCAATCGTCGAACTGGATAACAATAGTGTTAAACACTCACCTTCTACAGATAAAGTTATAGAAAGTTTTGATAGTTCGAGTACAGTTGAATTCGTCGACAATGCCATTAAAGAGAACTTAAAACAAGAGGGAACTAAATCAAATCCTGCGAGATCAATCAGTTCTGACTTGTCAAACAAAGCTAATCTTCCTTTAGATGGAGAAAAGACGCCTGACGTACTTTCTCCCGAAGATCAAGAGCGAAATGTGATCGAGGAAGACCTACCACCTCCACCTCCGCCTTTAGAGGAAGAGGACACTCCTGTCATAGGTGACAACGCGAACAATCAAGAAACTATAACAGAGGACTTTTCAAATTCTAACAGTAATAATGGCCAAGCCACGATAAAATCGGAGAATACTGTAGATTTAACTGATAGCTTACAAGCCGAACCCCAAAAATTACAAAGCGATGAAACATCTCATAACAATCCGGAAGGCAAAAGCTCTCCAAATCACCAAAGTGAAATAGTAGAATCTGTTAGTCCATTAAGTTCTAATAACAGTTCGATCAACAATGGAGAAACCGCTCCAAGTCCAGTTACTGCTGTCAGTCTGACGCCCGCCATAACGAACCTTCAGTCGATGGAGGAATCTAAAAGTGAATCTATAACTGATTCTAGTTCTTTAATATTAGACATTCACAAAGATACTGATGTTATCAGAGACGATAGGGTAACGACTGAAACTAATGGTACAATCCAAAAGCCGATAGAAAATAATAAGAAAGAATCAAAAACCAGTGAGACGGAAAGTGTAAGCAAGGATGATATAAAACCTAATAATAAATTAACAAACGGATTATCTTCGAGGTCTGAGACTCCAAACGATCATAAAGCAGGAACTAATAAAAACGACGTGTTAAATAACAGCCAAGATGAAATAAAAGCAAGTCTGGAGAAAATAGTTAATGGCTTGCCTGAATCTAAATTAGGACTGAATGCTTCAGAAGTTGCAAACGAATCGCTGAAAGACTTAGCCGATGAAAAGGTTGTAGCGGCTGCGACGACGATTCAAGCCTCTTTCAGGGGTTTCCAAACACGGCAGAACCTTAAAACAAGCGGGATGGACGAGGAAGAAAGTAATAAATTGGAAATGTTAAGCAAAGACATTGAAGTTAATAAGACGAACGTTAAAAATGAAATATCATCCAAAGTAACCGGCGGAGAATCAATAACGGATTGTTCCGAATCGATTTTAGAGAACGCTGATGACAAAATTATAAACGCAGCGACAACGATACAGGCGAACTTTAGAGGATACCAAACCAGACAAATGCTCAAGAGTAAGGCAGATTCTGGACTAGAGCCATCCGAGGAGAACAATCAATCTGTAGAAAGAAGAACTCCGACAGCATTGACTCCGGAACTAATAGAGTCTGTAAAGGAAGAGGTGAACGAAATCTGCAATGAAGCTGAGGTGATTGCGGCGGAGAGGTCTGAGTCGGTGGACAGCATGCTGAGAGGAGTGGACCACGTCGTTGTAGGCACCAAGGAGTCAGCTCTGCCTAGTGTGTCGGACTCTATCTTGGCTGTGAGAGGCTCCACCACGCCACCGTCAGTCAGTGAGGCTGTGGAGGAAGTGTTCGACTCTCTGACAGACGTGGACGAGAGGACCATCAACGCTGCCATGACGATACAAGCCACCTTCCGCGGCTATCAGACAAGGAAAGCTCTGCAAGACGACACGGAGCAGCCCGATGTAAGTCCATCATTATGAACTTGGCATTGGCTAGTTGTATTTTCTTAGTGTAAATCATACTGGTTTCATCAACTAGTTTCATATTAACTTAATTAGCTTAGTTTTGATACGACACGAGGTGCTATTTTGTTGAACATAAATGGTCCTTTTTCAGTCCATGCCAGACTACCCACCCCCGGACGAGTACCTCCAGTCTCTAGAGGATCTGCCACCCCCGGACTTTGAGGCACTGGAGTCGTCCTACTCAGAGGACGTCCCCACTGAGCCTCTGGTGCCGCCACCGCCTCCAGACTCAGAGATATTCAATGAGGAGGACGAGGACGAGCTAGCGGCGTTACAGCGGCCGCAGGAGTGTGATGAGTTGCCGGAGAATCGCCTTACCTTGGACACGGAGTCCGAGCAGTCTGACTCATCTCTGTCCAGCGCCGCTACTAAGATACAGGCGGGCGTGCGAGGCTACCTCACCAGGAAACAGATGCAGGTACTCCTCTAGTCCCTATGACCTAATGGTTGTGGTACTTCAATGATTTCAAAGGCTGTGATTCTATAACATCTCATTAAATAAAATAGATCTACATATGACAGTCAAAAAGTTTCCGGATTAAATTTATGTAGGCATTTAACGCGATCGCCAGCGGCAAATTTGCCTTGAAGTAGTTGGTACGACTACTGGGGAGGGCATATCGTTAGTGGGGGGTATAGCTAACGAGCCGTAGTGCAGCATTGGTAAGCGCTTTTCGTGTACCTGAATGTCTACATTGTCAGTTACTGTGGGTCGTGTACCTGCATTGAAAAATGGCATTTCATGAACAGTGACGAACATTAAGTTTTGGCTTTTACTAAAAAAAAAAAACATCCAGTGAGACTCTTGAGCTGTTAATTCAAGCTTATGGAGAAGAAGCGATGAAGAAAAGTCAAGTTTATGAGTGGCACAAACGGTTTTGTAAAGGCCTCGAAAGCATTGACAGTGGACATCCTTCAACAGCAGCCAATGACGTAAACATTGAGCGAGTACGACAAGTTTTGTGTGATAATCGGAAATTAACAATCTATGAAATGTCATAAAGGTCCATTTATCTCATGGAAGTGTTCACACCCTCCTTCATGATCATTTGGTCATGCATCGAATTTATCGAATTTGTTCGTGAATGGTTCCAAAAAAAACTGCAAAATTTGTTAATAAATTGTGACTGGTGACGAAACATGGTGTTATCTCTATGACCCTCTACTAAGTTTGTGCTACTCCGTTTGTGGTACACGACCGACAGTAACCAACATGTAGACTTGCAGGTACACGAAACGCGCTCACCAACGCTGCACTACAGCTCGTCAGCTATAAACCCACTACCGATATGCCCTCCCCAGGAGTCGTACTAACTACTGCAAGGCGAATATATATTATAAGTGATGACATTTAGCGCGGCCACTAAATGTCTAAAAAAAATTCATTCCGGGAACTTTTTGACTGTAGTATTACTTCATCATTCGTAATTTTTAAATATGTGGTTGATTTCCAAACACCCAGAATGAGTTTGTTCAAAATATTGAATATTTGTTTAATGTAACAATTGAATTGTAGACGCCTGGAGGTACTGCGACTGGGACCACGTCGACGTCTACCAACCGCACGGCACCCGACAGTGACGGCTCGCTCAGTGTGGACGGCATGAGGAGTGTGATATCCACAGAGGAGGAGAGTGAGGTGACTCGTCACCGCGCCACCCCGGACAGTGAGGAAGTCAGTGAGGTCCGACCTAGCAGATCCGCCATGAAGAGGATGTCTCTGGCTGAACTTCCATCTCGCAGCCACGCGCCTATCCGCTCTAGGGCTCTATCCATGCAGGTCAGCCTCCACGCCAATTTATATGCAGTTATACTGTTCAAAATGTTCTTAACTATAAACTATTACAATTAAAACCGATATCCACGGGTTTTCTAATATGAAGATCCTCGCAGCATTTCTCATGGCTAAATAAAGATTACAGTAACATCATCACTCATAAAATAAGTCATAAACAAAGTTTAGTGGGCCTACTATAAACAATGGTGATGTAGACATCTTATAGCTCAAATAAATGTGTGTGTTTCGCTAGAGCTAGACCAATGTTTAAACTCATAGAACAAAAAAAGTAAAACATTTATTTGATTGTTTGGCTTTCTACAGTTTGTATGACTTGTCAACAGATTACTAATTTTTTGCAAAATAATTCATCCCTCTATGCTAAAGATTATTCTGATGTCAGTAAAAACACACAGTTGTACAATAGTATATTTCATAACTAGGGCATAAAGTTACTCTTTTTGATTCGAGGTCAGGTTTTATGTCGGAAAATGAGCGAGGGTTAAAAAGTCACTTTTTTCCGTGTGGTGAACTATATCTTTCGTCATATTGCATCATGGATTAACAAAAACAAAGCTAGAAAACTAAATAATAATGTTTATGTAAAGATAACCTCTCAAAACAACTTCCTTGAAATTCTGCTAATGCAAATAAGCAGCTGTTTAGTAAGTTATTCAATTATTTCGTCTATTAAAACCTCACCTAATAAATCATTTGATAAATAATTTCGATCGGTACGAGCGCCACAATCGAAATGTACAACTCTTAACAACAGCTGATTTTCACTCCCTAGAGACCAAAAGTTATTTTTACTCCCTGAAGAGTAAAAATGCTACTTTAGACCCGCAACGAATGCATTAAAAACGGCTGTTTTTTGCTGCAGTATGACGAAAAATATAGGCCTAATAAGAATCGGTGTGTCTAGGTGGCAGGTGCTGGCCCTGGTGTGTCGGATGAAGAGGTTTGGGACACCTTGAAGAACGAATTGTCCGACGCGGCTACGAAGATACAGAGCAACTTTCGAGGTTATCGCGCTCGCAAGCAACTGCAACGTGAGGACGCGGTCCAGGGGACGTCCTCTAGCAGTCAGGCGACGCCCACACCTACCTCGGACAGTGTGGAGTCCGCAGCAACAACAACAACAACACAGCCAGCCTCAGCTAGTGTGGAGGCCGCAACAACAACAGCTCAGCCAGCCTCAGCTAGTGTGGAGGCCGCAGCAACAACAACACAGCCAGCCTCAGCTAGTGTGGAGGCCGCAACAACAACACCGCCAGCCTCAGCTAGTGTGGAGGCCGCAACAACAACAACACAGCCAGCCTCAGCTAGTGTGGAGGCCACAACAACACCGCCAGCCTTGGGCAGTGTAGAGGCCACAACAACTCAGCCAGCATCGGACAGTGTGGAGGCCGCAGCAACAACAACAACAACACAGCCAGCCTCAGCTAGTGTGGAGGCCGCAACAACAAGAACACCGCCAGCCTCAGCTAGTGTGGAGGCCACAACAACAACACCTCCAGCCTCGGGCAGTGTAGAGGCCACAACAACTCAGCCAGCCTCGGACAGTGTGGAGGCCACAACAACAACAACACAGCCAGCCTCGCGCAGTGTGGAAACCGCAATAACAACAACACAGCGAGCGTCTGGGGAGTTCCACGACATCATCCCTCTCACACCACCCAATGTTGGCGACGCGGTTGAAGGTAAATAATTAAGGTAAGTCAAATCTTCTACATACAGTTCTTACATCTATGTAATCGATCACTTGTATAACTTTGATCAATACAAGAAGGGGGCTGTATAAACATGAAGACAGATTAACTTTTTGACATACAGTTGTCACCAACAGCATTCCACAGTATCTTTTAATTTTTTGATGCAGCTAATACATTTCTATAATAGCCCCAGAACATATTAACTGTATTAAACTATTTACCAATCTTCTCGTCAGGATTGGTGTAGTGTTGCACGATCGCCACTGCTGTGGTTCTGTATACAGTCTAAAGGCCCTTAGGAGGGCCTTAACAGTGACTATCAAAGAACTACCATCAAAACGTACACCCCTTATAACAAAAGACATTTAGCGATGGTTTGCAAAAAAATCCCTAACCTGAGTTCGTTTTCCATGATGAACTTGTTCACACAGATCTATAATATTAAAACGAAACAGTGTTTTTTTATTTCACGATTCTGAATCAACTACTCGACGGATTTTCATGATTTTTGTGTTGAAAGAAAGATATTTTTGAGAACTAGGGAATGTCGAAGCCATAATTTTAGTTTAGGGTCCCAGTTTTTTAGAAATTTAGTTTTAATTTTTAAAAAGTCTAGCAGCCGACGCTAGGATTCTAAACTAGCTTTTGGCATAAAATAATTTGCTTAACATAACAGCTGTAAACATTCAGCTTTTGTGTCACAAATTCAGCATTTGGATAAAATGTAAAGACATACCGTACTTAGGGTTGACTTATTAATACTATGTGTAATGCTAAACATTGTTCCATTCAATTCTTCTGTAAGATGATGACAGATTAATTAAATACACATAGTAAAATACTAGGATGTTAAAATGATTTTTTTAAGCAATCTTTGTAATCTTCGATTTTCTTTAGAGCAATATAATATTTGTTTTAACTAACAGCTGGTTAAATATAAACTATGGAACTATGACGTTATTTCATTTACTCTTATTTTGTCATTGATTATAGGAAATAAGTAAGATTAGTAGAGATAATTAGACCACAGTTTAAAATAGTTTAGACCAAAATTAATTAAACCACAGTACAAATCGAGGCTCTGTACACAAGTCTTAATAAAAAAGGATAAATGCAAATTATTTTACTGCTTACGTAGGACGGGCTAACACCTCGTTATATTTATGGCAAAACTTGATTACTCCCAATCGATGGGATATTTAGATCAAAATGACCCATTACTTAAAACGCTAATCCTTTACTTAGGAAAATACTAAATTTACTATGGACGTAAACATGTAACACCACAGATTAAAGAATATACACATACTACGAAACCCTTGTGGCTCGATGAGCATAACGTTGAACAAAAGTTGGTGCTATAATTATAGTAGGATAGTAGGAATTATAGTAGGATTCAGAGTTGTTTAAAAACTTTTTAAAAACTTGACTTACAAATCTCTAATCGCGTCTTGAACGTTCACGTACATTTTACTCTCAGCTTTGCCTGGTTACTTCCATTGAAAGCTAAACGTTCACTTTCAATTCGAGTGAACATATCAGCAACAAAGTTTTTTACAGGCGAAGAACTGAAGACAATTGTTGCCAATGTTATTAAATTACCTAAAATCACAAAAGATACGTCAAATAACATTCATTGTCTAAAAATTGAGGAAGAGTTCTGTTAACAAAAGTCGGCTTAGCGTATTATTTATATATATACATATTTATATAAATGTCTACGTTTAAATGTGTGGCAACTTGTTCAATATCAATACTTTGCAAGCAACTTATTTTGTAAACATAAATGACGGTTTGAAGAAACAATCTTTCTCTAGCTTAATCTATGATCTGTGATCTATCAGTGAATCAACAACTACGGGGGAAATGAAAATTTGACCGTGTTTTTTGCACCAATTTACTAACCAAATCACTCGTTATATTGGACTTAAACAAACTTAAAATGTTAGTGAAGGCTGCTACGCTTTCATAATAATAAACATTAAAACAAATTTTATAAAATAACTGAAGCCCACAACTAAAACTGCGGCTTCGAAATTATTCTCCTCTCAAAAGTATATTTCTTTCAACGCTAGAATCACGAAAATCCATCAATTAGTTGGTTATGTAGGCAAAACCCACCCATCAGGACGTTTAAGATGGCATCATTATAAATATTATTTTTTAATGTATATACTATACACATAGCTTACGAACACATAGTAACTCACTAAGTCCTCTAATGACAACAATATATAGTGGTAAATATGTAGCCTACATTTTGCAAAAGAATAATTAAAAACTTTGTATTGATTTGGTTGTGTAGGATAACGAAACTAGGCATGGAAAACACTTTTGGAGATGTAATGTTATTGAACAAACCTTGGACATTGAGATAACCCGTTTTGACTTTCTTAAACAATGGAACGATGGTAAAAGTAACCAACAATTTGGTTATTCTTCGCAATGTACAGACAAAACTCTATTTGTTTATGTAAATATAATAAGCTATTATTTATTTATACATTAATTATTGTTGAACAGAAATAACTAGGGTGGTCTGCCGTTACACTTTAGACGCATAAATGAGCGAAGCATTATTTAAAGATTGTCAATGGCTATAGCAGCTAACAACCTACCCCTGTTCCCTTTCAACAGATTCCACGTTTGTTTGCCCGATATTATTTAAGTTCTAAAGAATGACAAATTTATCTGATAGTTAATTTATTTAGTTAAGAATAAGAATAAGAATTGATAAAAGGTTATTAGACATGTGTATTTGACATTTCTTTTAAACGGTCAAGAGCTTCTTTCTTCTTTGCCCAAGATCCGCGTCTGTTAATTGACATCAATCGGTCTAGTGAAAATGGTGGATCCAGAAGCAGGCCTTTAAATGTCTTAACTCTTGATAGGCCTACGTAGGACAACCTTTGAGGCATGGTCAAAACAAATATAGCAAAACTGTTACTTCCATTGATAAACTGTTACATTCCAACTTTAACCTAGGATGAAAGTAAACATTGAAATGTAAACAAAACAGTTACAAACAATGAACATATGTTTATCTTATTTCAATTAAACGAGATAAACCACCCATATGTCATAAACCCAATATAATTTTTCTTTCAACTTACATTAAATTAAGAAGCGAAATTGCGTGACCCGTAAAATAAAATCCAGAAGGAAATTTGCAAATATTTTTTACCAAAACATTGTGCTCAGTATTCTTTAGCTGCTGGCCAAATTTCATATCAATTGGTCAAGCCATTACATTCTGATGCTCTTACAAAGAAGTTACAAAGTGAGGGAAAGTGAGCTTCGCTCAATAATGTATTTTTGTTACTGTTCTGTAGTTGAAACCTTTTGAAAACGGATTTTTCTATCAGCAAGTAATATTGCCAGAGGCACTTTAACCATCCTCTTACGTCATCATTTACATCCTCCATGTGAATTATGTGCCGTGTATTACGAGTTTTAACGTCAGTCTGACGAGAATCTAGATTTTATTTTATTAAGTTAATTTGTTAGTTTCCCAGACACTAAGCCATACATTAACTGAGAGTCATTTTCCAAACGACTCTCGTCAAGTTGAATCATTACTTACGAGGGGAATATTACTACAAATTCAATCCTGCATATAAGGTTAATTTGAAAACGTAATTTAAAATGTTCATCACGCAACTTTAAAATGGAATATTTTATCAAATACTAGCTGCTATGCCCTTGCCTTGCAACGGGGTCAGTATGCAAAAGAGGCAACGTTGGTTCGTTGAAAATGCCTTAAAAATGGGTTCACTCCTACCATTTTATTTAGAAACAAAATTGAACTGTATTACTTAACTTGAAAATAATAGTACGTTTTTGTAAACTCAGACTGTAAATAATTTAAATTTAGGAGCCCAAAACCAATGATGGATTTTCAGGTATAATAAAATGACATGTTTAATGGTTTGTAAGTTTATACTGTACGCGAAAAACTATCATAATACTTCTAAACCAAATAGTGTAATCTAACATGTTTTAGTGAAATTTTTATCAGGCAAATGGACATTCGCTTAGCCTGTAGGTTTGCTGCTGCAGGGGTATTAAATTACTGTTTACACAAAAATATATGTAAAAAATAATTCTCGTAAAACTCAGAATAAGAGTCTAGGTTGATAAGGTAATGATTATAGAATCTCGATTACAGTATTTCCGATATCCATGAGTAATTTATTTTTCACCACACTATGATGTTTTTGGCTGTATTACATACGTTAATTGGTGGCTGAAAGTTACGTTTTGCTGGCCATGCCAGCTGTCATCGTAATTTGGGGACCGAGCAGGTTTTTACAGGCCGGGGCCGCAAAATCAGCTGTCCGCTTACTTACTTAAAACATGAATGCATTTTAAATACACAATCAAAATCCATAGCATTGCAATATAATTGTGTTATTGTCACCGTTGCCTAGCAACTATTTATTTTTATTTTTGCTGACTCCTCAAGTTATTTCTTCACATAACTATAAAGTTGTAGTTGTGTTGACTATCAGTGTGCATTATTATAGTGGTGAATAGTGGTAATAGGGTATAGTGTGGTGAAAAATAGCGTTCGTACCACGGACCGAAATGGTTTTGCAGCTCTCGATCGATTTAAGTTCTCGACTTCGTCTCGATCTTAAAAACTATCTCGAGCCAGCAAAACCTCATTTTCGGCCCTAGGTACGAAATATACTATTACAACTAGCAACAGTGCCCGTTGTGGTTAAATACAACGGTCTCTAGTAAAGTAATGGTTATGAAATCCATACACCACTTTACTCACTAATATTAATGGTACAGTTTAAGTACATAACATTAGAATCACACATTTAACATAAGGAACACACTTTAAACATAAATGCAAATTGTTAACAACAACATTTAATCAAAGAAAAATTCATTAGATAACAATATAACAATAAGCTGTTGAATTATTAACACATGTTTCGTATGATTAGATTATGCATACTGGGAAACCAATTATTTCCATCTATAAAAATA